CTTAAGGATAAGGGGCCATTTTCTACTGCAAATTAACTGGTGTATTAAAATAGCCCTCTTGGAACATTTTGTCGATCTTGCGAAAAACTAGCATCATGTTCTTGATCTACGCACCCGATTTAAAGAGAAAACAGGTTTTGGTTTACATTACAGATACTTCAGAATTCTTGGTAATTTCTTGCGTCTCGAAGCCGTAAGGTTAAGAGGCCATTTTCTACTGCAAATTAATTGGTGTATTAAAATAGTCCTCTTGGAACATTTTGTCGATCTTGCGAAAAACTAGCATCATGTTCTTGATCTACGCACCCGATTTAAAGAGAAAACAGGTTTTGGTCTACATTACATATACTTAAGAATTCTTGGTGATTCCTTGCGGTCTCGAAGCCTTAAGGATAAGGGGCCATTTTCTACTGCAAATTAATTGGTGTATTAAAATAGTCCTCTTGGAACATTTTGTCGATCTTGCGAAAAACTAGCATCATGTTCTTGATCTACGCACCCGATTTAAAGAGAAAACAGGTTTTGGTCTACATTACAGATACCTAAGAATTCTTGGAAATTTCTTGGGTCTCGAAGCCTTAAGGATAAGGGGCCATTTTCTACTGCAAATTAACTGGTGTATTAAAATAGTCCTCTTGGAACATTTTGTCGATCTTGCGAAAAACTAGAATCATGGTCTTGATCTACGCACCCGATTTAAAGAGAAAACAGGTTTTGGTCTACATTACAGATACCTAAGAATTCTTGGAAATTTCTTGGGTCTCGAAGCCTTAAGGATAAGGGGCCATTTTCTACTGCAAATTAACTGGTGTATTAAAATAGTCCTCTTGGAACATTTTGTCGATCTTGCGAAAAACTAGAATCATGGTCTTGATCTACGCACCCGATTTAAAGAGAAAACAGGTTTTGGTCTACATTACAGATACCTAATTAGTCTTGGACATTTTTTGCGTCTGGAAGCCATAAGGTTAAAGAACCACTTTTCTACTGCAAATGATTGGAGTAGAGACATGGATATCTTGAACATTGCGTCCATCTTCGCGGAAAACTGGCATCATATTCTCAAACAGGTTATGGTCTGCATTACAGATACCTAAGAATTCTTGGAAATTTCTTGCTTCTCGAAGCCTTAAGGATAAGGGGCCATTTTCTACTGCAAATTAATTGGTGTATTAAATGGTCCTCTTGGAACATTTTGTCGATCTTGCGAAAAACTAGCATATCATGTTCTTGATCTACGCACCCGATTTAAAGAGAAAACAGGTTTTGGTCTACATTACATATACTTAATAATTCTTGGTGATTTCTTGCGTCTCGAAGCCATAAAGTTAAGAGGCCATTTTGTACTGCAAATGATTGGTGTATTAGAATAGTCCTCTTGGAACATTTCGTCGATCTTAGTGAAAAACTAGCATCATGTTCTTGATCTACGCACCCGATTTAAAGAGAAACCAGGTTTTGGTCTACATTACAGATACTTCAGAATTCTTGGTAATTTCTTGCGTCTCGAAGCCATAAGGTTAAGAGGCCATTTTCTACTGCAAATTAATTAGTGTATTAAAATAGTCCTCTTGGAACATTTTGTCGATCTTGCGAAAAACTAGCATCATGTTCTTGATCTACGCACCCGATTTAAAGAGAAAACAGGTTTTGGTCTACATTACATATACTTCAGAATTCTTGGTGATTTCTTGCGTCTCGAAGCCATAAGGTTAAGAGGCCATTTTCTACTGCAAATTAACTGGTGTATTAAAATAGTCCTCTTGGAACATTTTGTCGATCTTGCGAAAAACTAGAATCATGTTCTTGATCTACGCACCCGATTTAAAGAGAAAACAGGTTTTGGTCTACATTACAGATACTTCAGAATTCTTGGTAATTTCTTGCGTCTCGAAGCCGTAAGGTTAAGAGGCCATTTTCTACTGCAAATTAATTGGTGTATTAAAATAGTCCTCTTGGAACATTTTGTCGATCTTGCGAAAAACTAGCATCATGTTCTTGATCTACGCACCCGATTTAAAGAGAAAACAGGTTTTGGTTTGCATTACAGATACTTCAGAATTCTTGGTAATTTCTTGCGTCTCGAAGCCGTAAGGTTAAGAGGCCATTTTCTACTGCAAATTAATTGGTGTATTAAAATAGTCCTCTTGGAACATTTTGTCGATCTTGCGAAAAACTAGCATCATGTTCTTGATCTACGCACCCGATTTAAAGAGAAAACAGGTTTTGGTCTACATTACATATACTTAAGAATTCTTGGTGATTCCTTGCGGTCTCGAAGCCTTAAGGATAAGGGGCCATTTTCTACTGCAAATTAATTGGTGTATTAAAATAGTCCTCTTGGAACATTTTGTCGATCTTGCGAAAAACTAGCATCATGTTCTTGATCTACGCACCCGATTTAAAGAGAAAACAGGTTTTGGTTTACATTACAGATACTTCAGAATTCTTGGTAATTTCTTGCGTCTCGAAGCCGTAAGGTTAAGAGGCCATTTTCTACTGCAAATTAATTGGTGTATTAAAATAGTCCTCTTGGAACATTTTGTCGATCTTGCGAAAAACTAGCATCATGTTCTTGATCTACGCACCCGATTTAAAGAGAAAACAGGTTTTGGTCTACATTACAGATACCTAAGAATTCTTGGAAATTTCTTGGGTCTCGAAGCCTTAAGGATAAGGGGCCATTTTCTACTGCAAATTAACTGGTGTATTAAAATAGTCCTCTTGGAACATTTTGTCGATCTTGCGAAAAACTAGAATCATGGTCTTGATCTACGCACCCGATTTAAAGAGAAAACAGGTTTTGGTCTACATTACAGATACTTAAGAATTCTTGTTAATTTCTTGTGTCTCGAAGCCATAAGGTTTAGAAGGCTATTTTCTACTACAAATTGTATTAAATGGTCCTCTTGGAACATTTCGTCGATCTTAGCCGAAAACTAGCATCATGTTCTTGTTATACGGACTCGATTTACCGAGAAAACAGGTTTTGGTTTACGTTACTTATACCTAAGGATCCTTGAAAATTTCTTGCATAACGAACCCATAAGGTTAGTTTTTACTGCATCCGAAAACATTTCAACTGGTCCTAAAGAGCATCAGAAGCTCCAAAGACATCTAAAACATTTTCCGAAACTTTCCATGGTGTCTAAATTTATACTGCATACTTATCCATTCGCTCTTTGACACCGTTGTGACTTCTTTAAATATGGATAGAAGCTTGACGTCCGAACACGAATATCTATACTCAGTAGTTAATTATAGACTGCATCCACAATTATCTTTCATTCTAATTCAATCCAAAGTCAAGGCAAGCGTCATGATTTTACTTCAAATAAACTACAAATTTAATGAACAAATCGCCAATCAATGCAAGGTTGACCTTACGCTTTTCGAAAAATAAGCATGATACTAGCTAGTTCAAATACTCGATGTATTTATAGCGCAAATATTAAACATGTATGACGAATTTCGCAAAGCATGGCGGAAACATTTTTGTCTTTGAATGATTGATTGCCTTCTCAGGAAATATCGTAAAAATATTTGATGTATCGTAAGTTACACGTTATTGAATCTAATAATGGAGTCTAGTAAATTGACTCAATACCACGCATTATTATAATCTTGCTTGATATACGAAAGCAGTATGTTTAGTAATCCTACTTATTTACTAAAAAAAGCCAAAAAATCGTTGGGATTTTTATAAATCCACAGCCCAGGTACTTAGAACAGCCGCATATAGAAGTTTCATAGTGAATATGGTAGAAAGCATGATAGCTGATGGACGGTCAAAGCGCAAAAAGAAGATATATCTTCATCTCTCCTTTTTTCAATGTAGTCCTTGCACATATTTATTTTGCTGCCTGAGTGGTGATTTTCCCTTTCATTATCTGGGATATAAAAATCCTAGTGAAATTGGTTAATATTGGAGTGACAGAGTCCTTTTTCTTTGCTGTGGGGTGTAATTGGTGTGTTGTATTTACTGCTGCTATTAAGATTGAGAGGCAAACCATGTTACACAGGTAGATAAACGCTGTTTGGGGTCAATGCTATCCATTAAAATTTTGATCTAACGTCTAAGTCCTATTTTGCTTTCGGAGGACAAGTCCTGCAGCATACTTGATTGAGTGAGTATTCTAACTGGTAATGTGAATTCCTTGAATAATGTTTCTTTTACAGCTATTTTTTTAAGGTATTTGGGGATGTTTATGCTTGGTATTTGGGTGGGAACAGGTTTTCTTCCAATGACTGTTTGCCACCATTGGATTCTGGTGTCTTTCCAATTTATGCTGTAATGGTCTGCAACTTCTTGCCTGCACTGCCTGTAAATCATGTTGTTTATGCGTTTTATTATCCTTGTAATTTCTTATCCACCACTTAAGTGGGAAGTATGTTGACGGTATTCCAGCTAGTTGGCCAATCTTCTGTCTACTGCTGAAGGGTACTTGGTGTTCATTATTGATATTGTACTTGACACTTATTACTTGCATTTGCGTATGGTCTCAAGTGAACTTTTTCTTGCCGAGGTAATGATTTTTAATGTTTTGAGAAGGTTCTTATTCAGTTTAAATTGCCTTTTGCAATCCAAGTTTTGTGAAACACTAGGATTGTATGAAACACACGAACTTTTATGTTTTCGCAGAAAAAACTAGCGACTTGAGTCTGATCGTCTTATATATGAACTTTCATCCTCACTACATCATATTTTGGATACAAACAAATCATAGGTTAAAAATTATAATTTTAGAGGTCGTTAAGTATCTAAGTTAAAGTTAAAACTTTGCTCTACAAGACGTTGAGGAGTGTTTCCAGACCAGTTTATTTGAAAGAGATTTCAATCTTGTTTTTCAAGCCAAAATTGGCGAACTTTTTGTTTTCGCTGACTACATGCCATGTAACAGCTAAAGAACATAATATTTTGATTTAGAAGTTCTTGGGACAATCATTCCTAGCCAACTGGGGTGGGAAGTAATTAAAGCATATAACGGTAAAATACTTACCGCAGTCTCGTTAACGGTACCAGTTTGTTCGGCAATGATGTCTTTGGCTGCGGTTAACATAACCACATAACCATAGTTATTGCAAAGGCCTAGAACCCAATATGCAGCCAATGTCCTAAATTTTCTGCCTCTATTAGAAGAACTTTGACCAGTTTCTGGAGGTATTATTTTGACGCAGCTCTGATATTCGGTAGTCATCTTGTAGTTGTTACTGGCGATTTCGAGTTCTGAATTTTGTCCGTGATCTGGAAGTTAAAAATATATCAGTCAGACGTTTCCGGCAAACTGGAAATCGTTGGAAAATAATTTGACATCTGCATGTATTGGAAAATTTCTAGTTTACCAGAAAATGATAGCATGACTAGACGTAGACCTTCAGGCAAAAGACCGTGAGAGGGGTGGTGCAATTGTCACAGCTTTTGCTGCTGACTTGATTCCTGTACTTCCTTATATGCTGCATTATGTACTAATGACTAGAACTAGCCGCAAACAGAGACAGAGATAGGAACATGGGACGTCAATACAAAAATTCCACCACTTGGCTTCCGCTTGAGAAGTAAAATCATACTCCGAGGACTCTTCCTCTACCCCGCAGCGCTCACAAGGGATTCTCATCCGCCATCACATGCAGGTGGCGCCTCAACGTGTTATGAACGAACAACTACATTAGGTTTGCCGTATCCAAAGATAAGCATCCATCCTTAACACTGGGACCTCCGGTGAACTCCCGTGCCTCACGGACATGTCTAGAGATGCTTCTTCATTTCTGGGAGTGTTATCTTGCAATCCACTTCTCCATTTTCCTCTTGACTCTTTGCGCGGGTACCACAGGGCTGGCTCAGGACCAACAAGGTTTTTGGCTGATCCTGCTGTCGCAAGACCGTCCGCCATATCGTTGCCCTTTATCCCAGCGTGCCCCGCTACGAACAACTGATATCGTATGCCTCGCTGCCCCTACATGTAAAACTAGTTTTCCTTCAATATATAAAATCGTCAGTATACGTTTTTAGCACCAAAAACTGCCCCCCTTCCCGCCATGGTTTTGTAATTTCGGTCTTACCGACGGTATACCATGGATGGAATGTATTTGGGATACTCTGTACATCGCATGTGTTGTGTAAATAAGGGATATATTTTAGCTATCTCAAGGTCGTTTACATGTCTCTGTTATCTCAAATTCAACTAATTTTTACAGACTTTAAAATATGAATAAATAGATGTTCGGCTGATAACTTTAAAAGTATAATACGTATTTGTAGCCGACTTTGCATATGCGGGAAACAGTCACCGATTCTTAGTGCCAAATACTGTCGCTATCTTAATCTTGAATGTATTTCGTATTTATCCTGATCCTAAAATTTAACAAGAAGTTAACGTTATTGTACTAAACGCAAGGCAAGCTGTTACACCCAATTGAATTGGTATCTCGAATGGAAACAAAATTGATCAAGTGAATAAACACCTATTACCATCTCTCTTTTCTTTATTTTGAGGCTTGCTACGTCAGTCAAAGCAAAACAGTTTCAAAAATCAAAAAGAAAATACAATGAGTTTTAAAGGTTTTCACACGTATTAGCTGTATGATAGCCGTAATAGTAAAAATAACGGGCACTGAACTAATCTTATTTATAAAATTTTTTGTTATAACAGCGCTATTTAAACGGCCCCATTTTTTATTTATTTTACTATACAGAAAATCCTGTACCGACAAAAATAGGTGATAGTCGTCGGATGGACCCAAGTCTGCAGAGTCTGGGGGATGTGATATAATTTCCCAGTACAGCTTTGCGATTTTCGCTTTCATACAGTAATAAGTCGTTCTTTCATGTAAACCTAATATAACAAACTAAATTTCGTATGTTTCTGTTGATAACTTACGAGCAACTGATGTTGGCGGATGTAATTCGATAAGGAATTATATTGATGTATTGGAAAAAGTTCAGTAATCTGGTGCTAGAAGATTGAAGTTTTGCATTTTAGTTGAAACCACCTCGCCAATTTCGAGGATTTAATATAAATGCTATTTTAGAAAATGCCGTATGCCCTGCGTCTTCGAAACAAAGAAGCTCTTCAAAAATCGTCAAAGGGCTAGTAGTAAATAAATTTTTTATTGAATTTTTGCGTAAAGTATTGCTGTGATTAACGTATATTAATGAATGAAATAACGAACCTTAGTATGCACATTTAGCGATGAATCAAGCGCGCACTTTATAAAAGAAGGCGACTTGCACCAGTCGAACGATAAGCGGCTACTAACCGCTATAGCGCTTATGCTTCCAACGCTAATCGGAAATGAAGTGAATTCTCAAATGTAAAGTTGACGTCAAAGTTGCAGTTTTTTGGATTAGGAGGGGAAACACATGATGGTGTTCTTTCTTCATTTTGGGCGGTGCTGTCATGTAGGTGATATGGTATCGTTGCGCGCACCGCTCTTTGCGGCGACTAGGGGTCCTACCCAATAAAAAACCCCTGCCTCCTGAGGTAAAGCTGGTTGAATACACTTCTTGTGGTTCATGAAAACACTCGGTAACACCACTTGTTGTGGCACGTCGTCAAGTGAGGTCGCAGCGGGCATCTTCATTTCTCTTGCTGGTGTAGGATGCCATCTCTCCGTTTTATGACCAGCACCTCCTGGACGAATTGCTGAATTATGTTCCAATTCTCTCTACTTTCCATCATGTGTCTTGTAACACTTCTACTATTGATTTCTCCAATGTTCCTCTCTGCATTGTATTTCCACCCTGTCCATCTTTGGCACACAAACAGTGAATGCTCTGGAGAATCCCGCTTTCCACAGTATCCGCAACTGCGGCCCTCCGTTATTTTCCCATTCATTTTAGATTCATTCCCAAAATAACCATATCCAGAAACTGAGTTAGGTAGAAATATCCAGCCTTCTTTGTTTACAGATAATCCACTGTCGTACATCGGTGACATTTTTCTAGTATGCTGACGATACACGATTAACATTTTGTTTGAATGAATCCTACTTGTCATTTAGTGACATTCAAGTGCATGTTATTCTGTTTACACCAGAGATCTATGATATTCAAACCAGCCTGTAACTCAAAACTATCTTCCAAACCGTACACGCTATTATAATTTCTCAGATCGTCAGTATAAACCAAGTACTCGCAACGCAACTCTGTTCCAACATTATTAATAAAAATTCAAAATATTAATGGACCAAGAACAGAACCCTGGAGCACTCCTTGTCAAACATTGGCTTCTCTGGTAATAAGAAAGGTAAAAGAGTGAATCGAAAATCAATATTTTGCCATAGTAACATACTATGAATGACAATTTTATTAAGAGAATCATCGTAATCGTAACATTTTGTATATTAAAATTGCAACTAATTTTTCATGTGACTTCACATAAAGGTTCACGCTACTACTAATTTACCCGACCAACAGTAATTCACAAATTACCGTATGTATTCAACCATGAACTAAAAGCTATTAATATCATAATGACTTACACAGATATCAACAGACTAAAAAATTAATAAGACTTACCAAAGATGATAATTTCTTGTATGCCTTCCTTTAGCTCTGTATCGAGACTAATCTGTACACACCAAATGAAATCAATATTTTTTTACGATTTAAATTATTTGATGATTATTGCTATTGTGAAACCATGAACATTGACCACAATATAATATGGCAATATTATTACAGTGATAACCAAGTTATCTATCAAATCTGTGTATCTCGTACTTTATCGCATTCTGAAAATAGGTTGTGGTTATCGTGACCGTCACACATACAATTCCAATCACGTCGTCAGCAATATATTAGATAAATTGCTTACATTAGATTTGTAATTGAACTGATACTAAGGCGACTGAAACTGGGGAATAGATCAGGAAACATAGCCAATCATTCAGTGGGTGAAAAAAATCCAAAGACGACACTCCATTGTGCGAAAAATGGTCGGTATCCAGATACTTTCTCCGTGTATACCTCCAACTGGAAGTTAGGTTATTCGACTCTTCTGATTGCTTTTAACCTGGGACATTCCATCATGTGTCTTGTAACACTTCTACTATTAATTTCTCCAATGTTCCTTTCTGCATTGTATTTCCACCCTGTCCATCTTTGGCACACAAACAGTGAATGCTCTGGAGAATCCCGCTTTCCACAGTATCCGCAACTGCGGCCCTCCGTTATTTTCCCATTCATTTTAGATTCATTCCCAAAATAACCATATCCAGAAACTGAGTTAGGTAGAAATATCCAGCCTTCTTTGTTTACAGATAACCCACTGTCGTACATCGGTGACATTTTTCTAGTATGCTGACGATACACGATTAACATTTTGTTTGAATGAATCCTACTTGTTATTTAGTGACATTCAAGTGCATGTTATTCTGTTTACACCAGTGATCTATGATATTCAAACCAGCCTGTAACTCAAAACTATCTTCCAAACCGTACACGCTATTATAATTTCTCAGATCGTCAGTATAAACCAAGTACTCGCAACGCAACTCTGTTCCAACATTATTAATAAAAATTCAAAATATTAATGGACCAAGAACAGAACCCTGGAGCACTCCTTGTCAAACATTGGCTTCTCTGGTAATAAGAAAGGTAAAAGAGTGAATCGAAAATCAATATTTTGCCATAGTAACATACTATAAATGACAATTTTATGAAGAGAATCATCGTAATCGTAACATTTTGTATATTAAAATTGCAACTAATTTTTCATGTGACTTCACATAAAGGTTCACGCTACCACTAATTTACCCGACCAACAGTAATTCACAAATTACCGTATGTATTCAACCATGAACTAAAAGCTATTAATATCATAATGACTTGCACAGATATCAACAGACTAAAAAATTAATAAGACTTACCAAAGATGATAATTTCTTGTATGCCTTCCTTTAGCTCTGTATCGAGACTAATCTGTACACACCAAATGAAATCAATATTTTTTTACGATTTAAATTATTTGATGATTATTGCTATTGTGAAACCATGAACATTGACCACAATATAATCTGGCAATATTATTACAGTGATAACAAAGTTATCTATCAAATCTGTGTATCTCGTACTTTATCGCATTCTGAAAATAGGTTGTGGTTATCGTGACCGTCACACATACAATTCCAATCACGTCGTCAGCAATATATTAGATAAATTGCTTACATTGGATTTGTAATTGAACTGATACTAAGGCGACTGAAACTGGGGAATATATCAGGAAACATAGCCAATCATTCAGTGGGTGAAAAAAATCCAAAGACGACACTCCATTGTACGAAAAATGGTCGGTATCCAGATACTTTCTCCGTGTATACCTCCAACTGGAAGTTAGGTTATTCGACTCTTCTGATTGCTTTTAACCTTGGACTTTCCATCATGTGTCTTGTAACACTTCTACTATTAATTTCTCCAATGTTCCTTTCTGCATTGTATTTCCACCCTGTCCATCTTTGGCACACAAACAGTGAATGCTCTGGAGAATCCCGCTTTCCACAGTATCCGCAACTGCGGCCCTCCGTTATTTTCCCATTCATTTTAGATTCATTCCCAAAATAACCATATCCAGAAACTGAGTTAGGTAGAAATATCCAGCCTTCTTTGTTTACAGATAACCCACTGTCGTACATCGGTGACATTTTTCTAGTATGCTGACGATACACGATTAACATTTTGTTTGAATGAATCCTACTTGTTATTTAGTGACATTCACGTGCATGTTATTCTGTTTACACCAGTGATCTATGATATTCAAACCAGCCTGTAACTCAAAACTATCTTCCAAACCGTACACGCTATTATAATTTCTCCGATCGTCAGTATAAACCAAGTACTCGCAACGCAACTCTGTTCCAACATTATTAATAAAAATTCAAAATATTAATGGACCAAGAACAGAACCCTGGAGCACTCCTTGTCAAACATTGGCTTCTCTGGTAATAAGAAAGGTAAAAGAGTGAATCGAAAATCAATATTTTGCCATAGTAACATACTATAAATGACAATTTTATGAAGAGAATCATCGTAATCGTAACATTTTGTATATTAAAATTGCAACTAATTTTTCATGTGACTTCACATAAAGGTTCACGCTACCACTAATTTACCCGACCAACAGTAATTCACAAATTACCGTATGTATTCAACCATGAACTAAAAGCTATTAATATCATAATGACTTACACAGATATCAACAGACTAAAAAATTAATAAGACTTACCAAAGATGATAATTTCTTGTATGCCTTCCTTTAGCTCTGTATCGAGACTAATCTGTACACACCAAATGAAATCAATATTTTTTTACGATTTAAATTATTTGATGATTATTGCTATTGTGAAACCATGAACATTGACCACAATATAATCTGGCAATATTATTACAGTGATAACAAAGTTATCTATCAAATCTGTGTATCTCGTACTTTATCGCATTCTGAAAATAGGTTGTGGTTATCATGACCGTCACACATACAATTCCAAACACGTCGTCAGCAATATATTAGATAAATTGCTTACATTGGATTTGTAATTGAACTGATACTAAGCCTACTGAAACTGGGGAATAGATCAGGAAAACTAGCCAATCATTCAGTGGATGAAAAAAATCCAAAGACGACATTCCAGTGTGCGAAAAATGGTCGGTATCCAGATACTTTCTCCGTGTATACCTCCAACTGGAAGTTAGGTTATTCGACTCTTCTGATTGCTTTTAACCTGGGACTTTCCATCATGTGTCTTGTAACACTTCTACTATTAATTTCTCCAATGTTCCTCTCTGCCTTGTATTTCCACCCTGTCCATCTTTGGCACACAAACAGTGAATGCTCTGGAGAATCCCGCTTTCCACAGTATCCGCATCTGCGGCCCTCCGTTATTTTCCCATTCATTTTAGATTCATTCCCAAAATAGTGACATCGACCTGTTATCAATGTTGTTTTAAACGCATTCGAATTGACGTATCTCACCAAACTGAAAACCGGTTCAGTTTCATAAAAAATCTACCTCAAACTTAGGGTTGCCCAAATATGAAAATCAGTTGGCTTGATGTTTGGAATTATCTGCCATAAAGTATGACAGACATGCATATAATGATTTAAAGTTACTGTCGTAAGTATATTGAGCCCTGATACCTCACTGCCCACGCTCAGTGGCGGAAGTTTTGAAAATGATATATTTTTTGGATGTTAAATGACATGTAGATTACGAACTCCATGACACTCATTTCCGTCGGTATATCTGTCTATCAGTCGATCGGTCAATTTGTCCGCTAATCCTTGGCCTGTCTATAACTTGCAAAGTACGGTCGGAATTTGATGCTAAGGACTATAAAGCTTTGTAATTTTTGAAAAAAGGTCAAAAACGAAGAAACAAAAATCGCTTAATCGTTTTTGACGTTTGAAGATCCTGACCATTTGTGAAAAATTTTTTAGAGTTAAAAAATTGGCGGGGTTGTAGAGTCAAGTTTGTTGATTGAAGGATGCGAGGTGCAGTATTTGTCTAGAGGCTTGCGGAAAAAACAGTTATTACTAAAACGGCCAAGAGAAAAACCTGGAAAATACTTTCAAGCTAGCGGGCGTGCCTTCAATCCTGAATCTAAAAAAGGGATGTTTCTGTGAATTCCGTCATATTAGATAAGCTAACAAAAGATACCCGATCCTTAGATTGTTATATCAAGGTTCGACAGAATTTTGAACTAGTTTAAATCAGTAGATCCTCAAAAAGTTCACTGGCATATCGATAAGAGATAGCTGACTATTCGTCGTTATGAAAGTAACACGTAGTACTTTCATAAATTTGCTCTATGCCGTATTTTGCTTCAAGTGTCAGAAATTTAGTTCTATTTTTCTTTCTTCCGATTCTTGACAAGCTCTGGGAGGGTACAGAGGGCGATCCAAAAATCTACTATCCCCAGTTGATAAGGGAAATGCTTAACTGCGTAAATCCAATGAACGAAAGACTGGCATGAAGATGCACTTGATCTGGCACGAACACATCTCTTCAATAGAATCAGCTGCTGGGAAAAAGCTCTGCTAGTTGTTTAGGTCTAAGGCTTTTTTCTGCATGACCACCTCACCCTATACAAGGCCCATAAACACCTAGCCTCGAGCATTTCTCGCACGTTTGAGGAGCTGCCGCCCAGACTTTATCATTTATGCTCGATGCGGCGGGCCGTCGGCGATCTAGCTCTATTCTTCCACTACACCGACGGGTTCTGCTCCTCAGTGCTCTCCGCCTTGATGCCGCCGCGCGATGTGCATGCCAGATAGACCTGCCTGACTTCGGCCTCCCATCCTAACCGTGTCGAACTTCGTGCATCTAGAACTGGCCGATACAACCGCTCCTTTGTCCCAAGGGTGTCGAGATTGTGGACAGTTCAAAAATCGAATTAACAAAATTTCTTTGGGTTCCCCTGGCATTTAGGCTTCTGCCTGCTGGGCTGCTTCGGCATAAAACAAACGTATAACGACGTTGCGTAGGAAATGCTGACTCAACCTACTTGACGCCATTTCTTATCTCTGGTTTTAATTGTTGATGTTTATTACCGTGAGCCACAACCATAGGAAAAGATTATGCCAACGTAGATTAATTCTAATGAGTTTGATAAGAGTATTTGTATAAGAATTGGCGGATATGATGGGAATCGTCATCAGAGATGTATCTTACAATTATTTGTTTGCTTTTTGGTATTACCTGGGTGATGTTTTGACTTTAATGACTCGATAAACTTTCCAATATGTGCCGAGTTGCATAACATATAAGATAAAGTTATTTATTTCAGTTCAGAAATAGATACATAAACATCATCTTAGAATGGAATTTATACAGGATGTCACAGAGTTAACATAGCTCTTGTATACCTATGCCTAATCGAAATAGCCAAAAAAGTGTGAAATTCTATGTAAAGCAGGAGGTAACTGGAAGAAACACATGAAATGAAACTGTATGGCAGTGTCATACTATGGAGATTTTTTTGCAGGCGCAGCAGAAGGTCCGAGAATGACACCTTGTGGGACTCCTGAGGTCACGAGTTGGGAATCAGAATAGGAGACGTTATGTGATTCAACTTGATTCCTATTGTGTAAATAAGATTCCAATAGTTTAAGTCTCATGGTATATATACCGTAATAACGCAGTTTTCCAAGTAAAAAGGAATGATCAATATTGTCGAAAGCTTGTCTTCGCACCTAGTAAATATATTAATCTACTATACTATTTTTGAGGTGTAAATGCGGTTCTAAAAACCTAATTTAAATGATACCTGTCCTCATTTTTCCACATATTTCGACCCGTTATCCATCCTATTATTTATGTTATCCCTTAGGGATTGACCATAATGTACATAGCACGATATACATACATCCGATTTCAATAATGGAATATCCCGAGCAATGCAGATCCGTCTAATGGTAGAAATTGGTCGCAACATGCATAAACGCTCCGTGCTGTGACAACTTTAATTGTCAATGTCATGAATAATAAAACTGCCGAAAAGCTATATCGGGTTTCTGTCAACCGGCAGCCAAGCCATGCATTAAACATGTTCCTTCTGGAGGCGAGCGGCTTTTTCGAATGTCGTTTTATATAATTACCATTTGGTGCTATTCTGTCAGGTCACAGTTTATCCATTTGGGTTTGCTAGAAATAGACGAAGCATTATTCACTTTCAAGGGGGCGCCTGTATCCTGCCGTACTTTGGTCAAAGGCAGTGAAGCATATGACTTGCTTGTTGTACGTGAAAGGCAATTGTAGTCTGCAGTCTCCATTCAGAGTTGATTTTCACAGTTATGAAACTCGCAATAGAGATAACATTTGCCCTAATACCCATCGCGGTGACAAATTTTTATGGTGTTAAATTTTTTAACGTGTTGCCAATACCTCAAATCGCTAGGTATTGATGTTTTCCACAAGAATTTCATACACTATATAACAAAGCATTCTTCTGTATTGATGAACATTTGATAAATAAATTATCATAGGTTTATTTGGAACATAGCAAACTTAAAGTTAACATTCGGCGTATTAGTAGCTTACAAAGCCCAAATAAGTATGTAAAAACTATTTAACCAAGAAGCATTGCTTTTGGAAAATAACAAATTTGAGGTCGTCTAGTATTATAAGTAACATGCAAAGCTCTAATTACTATTATTAGTTGAATTATAGTACAGTATTCTTAAATGCTAAAAAAGTATCTTGAAACTAGAATATAACTGTGGAAGCATCCTTAGGCAACATTTAATTTTCAAGAAAGTAATGAACTACTTTTACATGTTTGAGGAAATGACTAAGTCTAGGTGCATGTAGAGCTTACCAGGCGATGATAAGACTTTCACCCTGTATAAATATAATATAATATAAACCACAAATAACTCGGAGATAATATATCATGTGTCTGAAATTTGATCCAAGCAGCCTGGTGGAGCACCTGCAAGTTCTGCCATCATTCTTCTCCTTTTAAAAATTATCATACGTGCTACAAAGTTTCCTGCTGCACTAGCGGAAACTATAACAGCACAAATGGACGTTATACAAACGGAAATTAGACTCAAAAATTTTCGTTGTTTCCCTTCATTAGAAATTTTTGTGTTGCTTACCA